CCCAGCCGGTCTCAGGTGGCCCCTCCTCTGCTCTCAGGTGATGCTGGCGGACAGGAAGGGCACAGAAGAGCTCTACGCCATCAAAATCCTGAAGAAGGACGTGGTGATCCAGGACGACGACGTGGAGTGCACCATGGTGGAGAAGCGCGTGCTGGCCCTGCTGGACAAGCCCCCGTTCCTGACGCAGCTGCACTCCTGCTTCCAGACCGTGGTAAGGACCCGGCACCCGGCGCGCTCAGGCCGCCCCAAGCCCACGCACCGTCCTACCCACGTGACTTTGCAGAGAAGGTTGGAGACCGCTCAGCCCTGAGCCTTCTCCGCCCGGCAGAGGCGACCGGGGACAGCCCCTCCGCCTGGTGCCGTGGTCAGTTCGGAGCCTCCCCTCCCGGTGGGGTGCCCTACTTAGAGACTTGGCATTCGTTCCATTTAATTCAGCAAACGTTTGTATCAAAGGTTTTCTTCCTGCCAGGCAATGTGCTGGGACTTCGAGACGGAGCAACAATAAGATAACTCAGAGTGCTGGCTCGGTAGCAGGCCAGCTAGCCAGCTGCCCAGCTTTGCCTGGGGACTTTCAGAGGCTCGGTTTTGTAAAAGAGTGTGTTCCTCTTCAGTGCACACAGCAGGGGTGGGCAATCTGGCCTGTGCTGTTCAGCCTATGAGCTCTAAGAAAGGTTTAGGAAGCAATAAGAATTCCATTTCGTGGCATGTGAAAGGTAGATGGAGTTCAGGTGTCAGCGCCATGAGGAGGTGTCTTGGCGCACAGCCAGGCCCAGACGGTCACTGTCGTCAGTGGCCACCTTCTTGCTACGAAGGCAGGGTTGGGTAGTGGCAAGACACCCACACAACCTACAATATTGACTGTCTGGCCCTTTAAGGAGAAAGTTTGCTGAGCCCTGTCCTATGGTGGAACTAGGCAGAGGACAGAGAATATTCCGGAGCACTAATCAGCTAGTGGCGGGACCCGGGCCCTGGCGTGGTGCTTGCAGGTGGCCTGCAAGAAATAGGAACTCGGAGGTGGCACCCAGTGCGGCATCCCCACTGCTCAGCCGCTCTCCTCGCTAAGATAGGGCTCAATCATTGGTCGCTGTAACGTTACTGTGTGGTGGTTACAATTCCCTCAGCCAGAAATTGACTTTCTGTTTTCTGTCTCCCTTTAAAAATCTGTCGGGAGGCGCCCCCTGAAAGCTCTTGGATTTTAAAATCTCACAATGGCAGTGCAGCCGCACAAGATCAGACGTGGGGTGCAGAGCCGGGCACGGCCATCGTGTGCCCGCCTCGCGCTAGGGCCCGGGCGGGCAGCTCCCCGCTCCCAGCAGCATCCGAGTAGCACTGAGGAGAGAGAGACAATGTGCGAGGAAGAGAGAGCCGCGTCTTGAATCCCAGCCCAGATCCTGTAACCCTGGTTACGCTGATTAAGCTCCAGAATGCTACAAAGCAGAGAAATAAAGATGAAATTAAAGTTCATAACGGCAAGGCTGGAGAAGGAAGCTCCCCGAGCCGTTTCCTGCCTGGTGGCAGCAGCTTCATCATTTCTCCTTCCCTGGGCAACACTTCAGTGTTTCATAACCTCTGAAATGGCAGTGTTTTCTAGAAGGGAACAGAGGTCAGCTGTCAGCTGGGCGTGCTGTCCCTGCGACCCCCGCTCCGTCTCCCCTCTGTCCCAGCACACTGCCCTCAGACGTATGCACATTTATTTGGTTCTATGATGTGTGCCCTTCCTGGGGCCAGCGCTTAGCATTCCAGTAAGAGAGGACATCAGAACCACACGGCCATATTATGGATGCCAGAGCGCTTTTGATTCGCCTCCCCATGTGCGGTCCCCTCCCCCACAGTAAATGTGGTTGAGCATTTATAATGCATACGCCCAACCTGACTCTCCGGGTTTGTGTTCAGAAGCACCCAGCTAAACATATGACTGCATTGCTCTCGCATGCCTCTTAGACAGTGCAAAGCAGAAACACTGGTTGAAACTAAATAATTGGCCCCTATGGATTCCTCAGTCGCCCCTAACTTAGGACAGTGTTCTGTGTGTGGGAGCAAAGGGTAGACCATTTGAGGCCATGACTGTCACAGGGAGCGTACGTGACCAGAGGAGCCGTGACATCCGAGTTAGGTACTGACCACCTCCCCAGGGCCCTCACGCAGTAGGTCCGTGACTTACTCTTCACTTGGGAAGAGACGTGTCGAAGGGTGGCACTGAGTGGACTGTCAGCGTGGCCCACGCTTCCCTAAGAGAAAGCCACGCCCGGTCTGGGAAGCGTGAGGGGCGCCCTCCCCTGCTCAGCTCACCTGTCGCACTTGGCCTTCAGGATCGCCTGTACTTCGTCATGGAATACGTCAACGGCGGGGACCTCATGTACCACATCCAGCAAGTAGGAAAATTTAAGGAGCCACAAGCAGTGTGAGTATTTTGTTTAAGTCCCTTAGTTTAGACACACAGCAGCCCCAGCTGGGAGCTCCTGGCTGGGTGAGATGCAGGTGGGCTCTGCCCAGTTCAGGGGAGGGAGGGCTATCACCTCCAGGGGTAGGTGGGGGGGCAGGTTTATTGGCGGGGTCCATCTCCGTGTGTCCTAAGGAGAGGGTTACGTGCTTCTTGTAAGTCGGGATGCGGGCGCAGTCCGCCCTTGTTGGTTGGCTCAGCCCCTCTGCCCCTTAGTTAATGGACTCATGGTCGTGCGCACCCACCACGCCCCAGGCAGCGGGACGGTGAAGGTGTGAGTGGCCCCTGCCCTGGGAGCTCACCCTCTGGCCAGAGTGGGGGGACTCACTCAACAATTTCAGAGTTGCCATAATGTTAAAGGTGGCCCAGGACACCATGCAAACCCCCCAAAAGCATCCTGGGGATTGCCCGTCCCAGAGGCTCAGGATGTGGAGGGGCAGTGGAGGGGGTACTCGGGTGACACTCCCAGTGGGTTCCAGGCCGGGGAATGGGAAGGTAGGTGTGGCCACGGGGAGGGGGAGATGGGAGGGCGGTGTGGCTGGTGAAATCTATGGAGAGCAGAGAGAACAAAGCGGAGGGACTCGTGTGTTTGAGAAGTCTCTGGAGGAAGAGAACCAGACGTGGTGACTGTGGGGGTGAGCAGAGAGAAGCCTCTTCGTATGACGCCCCATTTTAGGTGGGGGGGGGCAGCCAGCCAGGAGGAGGGGGTTGGGGGGGAATCGGGAGCTCCATTTGGAAGGTTTCATTGGGACGCGCCTTGGATGCCGGGATAGGCATCAGCCACGTGGGAGAGAGACCGGCTCCAGGGAAGGATGGAGAGTCTTCCGTCCAGAGGCAGGCGTGGGTGCCTGAGAAGCCATCCCCCTTCTCGGGGCCAGGAAGCCCCAGGCAGCACCGGGGAGCAAAGCTGAGCACACAGCGCTTCCTTCCCCTCCATGGGGACGCTGGTGGCGTGTGTCCCGGAGGGGGCCCGTCTGCACGTGTTCATGGGATTCTGGCTGACGTTCATGGGAGAGTTGAGTCGGAGACGCTGGCCGGTGTGCAGGGTCTGCCCCTGAGAAGGTGGCGCAGGGCCGCTGGGGAAGTCCGCTGGCAAGCGTAGAAAACGTGAAGGCGGGTTTCATTCTCTTCCGTTTTCAGAAACGCCTGCCCTTATCCCCTCGCTCGTGTTGTCCGTCAGAAAGCCTTAGCATGCTCGGATTGTCGAGTGAAGCTGAGCTAAAGAGCATGGAGCCGAATAGCCACCCTGTGTTATAAAGTGACAGAAAGGGCCGGTCCCCTTTCATTGTATTTGTGTTGCCAGGAAGGTTTTATTTTTAAAAAGATGGAAAAGCCCGAAAAATATTGTCCAAGTCGCCTATAATCCATCTCTTATTTCTCTCCGATTTCTCCCCTCTCCCACCAGCCACCCCCCCCCAATACACACACACACACACACACACACACACACACACACACACACACACCAGTGAGGAGTTTGGTCCCTGTGGTTGGGTTTTCTCGGCTCACACAGACATCTGTGCTCACCTAGGCCTCCTGGGTTGATGTGCGCACAGGCAGTTCTGTGGCTCCTCAGACTTCAGAGCTTCCTGAATACGATACCAATTTAAAACATCTCTCAGCGTTTATCCTGCATGTTAGACATGCACCTACGAATGATTCTGAAGTGACGGCAGCCGCTGCTTTCTATCATGAATTATTTAGAAGGGTAAACTCGGGCATGAGTCACGGTGTGTGCCCCACTTATCCCTGCGCTCGGGCTAGAGGTGGGGGTGAGGAATCCAGCTCAGGAGCTCACTGCACACTCCGCTTCGTCTTCCAGGAATAACCGTGTGTTTAACACTGATGTATTCTGTTCACGAGGAGGAACGTGGACATCGGCTCCACCGCCGTCCCAATCGGCTCTGGCAAAGAGCAGTCTAACAGCCACTCATTAAAAAATATATATATATTGATTGGTTTCAGAGAAAGGAAGGGAGAGGGAAAGAGAGAACCATCAATGATGAGAGAGAATCATGGGTCAGCTGCCTCCTTCATGCCCCCTACTGGAGATTGAGCCCACAACCCAGGCATGTGCCCTTAATGGAATCAAAACCCTGACCTTCTGGTTCATGGGTTGCCACTCAACCACTAAGTCATACCAGCCGTACTAACAGCCACTCTTTAAGAGATTGTATTAGGGCCCAGCCGGCGTGGCTCAGTGGTTGAGTGTCAACCCAGGAACCAGGAGGTCAGGGTTCAATTCCCGGGTAGGGCACATGCCCGGTTGCTAGATCAATCTTCAGAGTAGGGTGTGCAGGAAGCAGCCGATCCATGATTCTCTCTTATCATTGATGTTTCTCTCTCTCTCTCTCTCTCCCTCTCTGAAATAAATAAAAAATACATTTAAAAAAATTTTGAACAAAGATTGTATTCGGAAATTCTCTTATAAGTTACCTGTCCACCTGCCCCAGACGAGAAGTGCTTGTTTCTGGGCAGGAGCTAAATCCATCTCGTTGGTTTTATTATCTGTGTCATTTGTAGGGGCAGTTGGAGCGATGAATGGCAGAGGGAAGGGGGGGGGCGCTGGAAGAACACGCATGGGGCGACACTAATCTCTGACAATCTCTCACTTCCCCGGCGCCTGGACTGGGTGGGACAGGGACCAGGTCCCCAGGAGTCCAGAGGAGCCTGACCAGCTTTTTCTCTTGCAGATTCTATGCAGCAGAGATTTCCATTGGACTGTTCTTCCTTCATAAACGAGGAATCATTTATAGGTGCGTGGCAAAACTCCCCTACCCTCCGTGCAGTTGAGCATTTGGCTGGACCCCTGGGTCTCTGTGGGCGTGTAATTCTGGGATGGGGACTTTGTGGAGTCCATGACCCCCCCCCCCAGGCAACAGACCCCTGCTGGGACCCTCCAGGTGATCGGAACCACCTTCTGATCTCAGGACCTCACATATTTGTCTCCTTTCTGCTTCCAACAAGAAAACATGCTTTTCTTTCCACGGACCGCTCCCGCCTCTGCCTTGGATGTGGGAGGGAGGTCAGAGGGCGATGAAAACAGGATTTCTGTGAGACGCTCAGCTGGATGAGGACATGGGGAAGTGGGAGAGAGGCCAGGGAAACGCTCCTGAGTTAAATCCTTCTGGTTGTCAGCTGTCGCGATGGTCTGGTGCCAAAGGGAGAAGAATGTCTTCCAGCATTGAGTGGAGAGAGATGGAAAGGGCCTGTGGTCCGAGGCAGGAGAGGGGACACGTGTGGGACCCATGGGGTGGTGCTGTACCTGTGGTCTGCACACCTGGTTTTGGGTCAGACCCCTCTGCGTGGGATGCAACTAAATCGGACAACTGGCCTGTCCCAGATCTGCTAACTCGGAATCTCTAGTGATTCCCTCGTGCAGCCAATGGTTGGGGACTCACTAGTTCGGCCATTTAGTCGTTCATTCAACACCCATCCATTAAGAACTTGCTGTATCCTGGGCACTGTATGTATTAGGCTCTGGAGATGAAAAAATAGTAGTTTCTGGTCCCGACTCCCCTGGTATTTGTAGTTCACGTGCCGTTGAGGTGGCAGCTCGTCAGATATGCGCCTCAGTAGCTGCAGAGCGAACCGTGCTCCGCACGCGGTGGGCAGGCCGCTGACGCTGTGCCCTTCCCCGCAGGGACCTGAAGTTAGACAACGTCATGCTGGACTCGGAGGGGCACATCAAGATCGCCGACTTCGGGATGTGCAAGGAGCACATGATGGACGGCGTCACGACCAGAACCTTCTGTGGGACCCCAGATTACATCGCCCCGGAGGTAGGGACCCCCATTCTCCTGTTTCCTAGACCAGCGCCTTCACACTGCAGCCACTGCTCCCTCCTGGGGTGCGGAGCCGTCCTGGAGTCACTGTGTGGGCCTGTGACGGCAGAACGCACTACACAGCAAAACAGGAAGTAGAGACTCGCACGCTCCTGCCACCTGGTCGGTGCACGTCTTGTTTTTAGATCTTTGCTCTCCTATGTGCACGCGTAAGCCAGCTGCACGGTAAAATGTACTTCGTGGTCACGGTCCAAACAACTTAAGAAGCTGGGCAGGGAAGGAGGGCTCTGGCTTGTCAGCATGTTCTTCGTGGGAAAACTGGGTCAGAAGGTGGTTCCGGCCCTGGCTTTTTCGGGAAATCGGAGTGATTAGTGCTTAAAGGGCACGTGGGCATTGACAGTGTGTTTATTCTGGGACGGACGCACCGTGTGGCTCTGAGCAGAGTGGCTCTGAGGTTTGTGTGCTGACAGCCGAGGCCGCGCTGCTTTGTCTTCCTGATGCTGCGTGTGGAGGGCTTTTCTTCCTGGGCTGTACCCAGGCCGTGCAGCCAGCTCTGCCCACACACAGCCCGCGGGTGGACCGTCGCTTCCCGGCGAGCTCCCGCAGCTGCAAGGGGGTGGTTCAGAGTCAGGCCGGCCCTCGGCTTTCCATGGCAGCTGGTGACGGCTTTGTGGTATTTAGTCAACATATCGTCCCCGGTATTTCTCTCGGAGGCAGTCGGGACAGTGGGAGGGACATGAGTGTAGAAGTCAGACCCCGGTGAGCTTCCGTCCTGCCTCTTATGTACAGGCTGTGGGACCTCGGGCCAGCTCCTTGCCCTCTCGGAACCCGTTTCCGCAGGGCGAGCTGGGAGAAGGATAAGCTCCGTGCAGCATTGCTGTCAGGACTCCAGTGCCTAACACGATGCTTGGCACCTAGTCAACCCCCAGGAGTGGCCATTATTCCGGAAGGGAAACTGATGCATGTTCCTTTGTTAAGGGCTTCTTGTTGGTTATATTCCTAGAGCATGTGGAAACGTAGAGTTAGACTATATTTTTAGAAACTTAAACTCTGAATTACATGGGCAAAGGCATTATGTTATTTGATGAGTAATTTATTGGGATTTTTTTCCCAAAAGAGCTCATACATTAATATCCCCAGGCATAACATGAGCTTAAATAGCCCTGTTTTCAAACATGAATAGCAAGATCTTACAGTAGAAATATCCCCCCCACCCCACCCCCTGGGCCATGTCATGCTAGGAACCTGGGAACAAGCTTTCAGACGGAGGGATCCTGAGGACACCTGGCAGAGAGGGATGCTGGGAACACGCCCTAGAGAGAGAGGGATGCTGGGAACACGCCCTAGAGTAGTGATGGCGAACCTTTTGAGCTCGGCGTGTCAGCATTTTGAAAAACCCTAACTTAACTCTGGTGCCATGTCACATATAGAAATTTTTTGATATTTGCAACCATAGTAAAACAAAGACTTATATTTTTGATATTTATTTTATATATTTAAATGCCATTTAACAAAGAAAAATCAACCCAAAAAAATGAGTTCGCGTGTCACCTCTGACACGCGTGTCATAGGTTCGCCATCACTGCCCTAGAGAGAGAGGGATGCTGGGAATGTGCCCTCAGAGAGAGGGATGCTGGGAATACTCCCTCAGAGAGAGGGATGCTGGGAACACGTCCTCAGAGGGGGATGCTAAGAAAACCAACTTTGGGCCTCGTAATACCCGGAAGATAGCATGAGCTGGCCCAAGTACCCTCCGTTTCCGCAAGCCTCGTTCCTCTCCTTATACTCACTGACAAGCAAGAACAAAGAAAGCCCGCTGTTCATCGAGTGTCTACTACGTGCCAGACACCTTACACACTTCCCTCCGATCCCATACCCAGCCCTGTAAGGGACGTAACATCAGGCCCCGGTTGCAGGGCAGGCGCCTGCAGGGTCAGGAATGGTCTGAGGCCTCCTTACTAAGAGATGCTGGAGTCAGGCGTCCACCCCTGGACCACCTCCAGACCTTTGCACGCCCACCACACTAAATGCTGCTCACACCGCAGGGAGTCACGTGTTCAGAGAGCACTGCGCATGCTTTCCTGGGCGAGCGGTGCCACCAGGGTGCAGGGCGATATCAGATGAGGGCCCTGACCTCAGGGTGCTTACAGCTTAGGGGAGGGGAGCCCCGTGCAGACGAGCAGGAACCGAGATGGGTTTAGGTTCCAGTCAGCCTTCATTGAGAACTGAGCGGTGCTGCTCTGGGAGCTCAATCAATAGTGGCTGGAGGTTGTTTCCCCTTCGGCCAGCGTTCTCCTCCGAAGGGCCCCCAGGGGTCATTGTGGGGGGGAGAAAGACCATCTAGGGTCGAGGTTTCGGACTTGGATCAAAGGTTAACATTCTCCTGTCCTCTGTGTAAATTGTTCTGTCAGGTGGAGGCAAAATAATTATCTTAGATGGCATTTCCCTTAATAGGCAAAGCGGGGGCTTAAATAGTTATGGCTGTTTGTTCAGAAACCTTGAAATGGATTAGACCATAGCATCTCCTCAACCGGGGAGAGGAGCTACGGCGGAAAAGGTCATTGACAGGTGTGATTTTGGAGTTGAGATGGTCGCCCGAGTAAGGGGCATTAATCAGAAAGTAATTCCTGGCCATGCCCACGTGTTCAGTGGTTAGAGTACCGGCCGCACACTGAAGGGTCTCGGGTCCAGTTCCTGGGCAAGGGCGACTACCTGGGTTTCAGGTTCTATCCCCGGCCCTTATCAGGGCGCATCCGGGAGGCCAACAGATCTATGTCTGTCTGTCTGTCTCTCTCTCTCTCTCTCTCTCTCTCTCTCTTTCTCCTCCCTCCCTTCCACTGTAAAAATCAATGGAAAAAATATCCTCAGGTGAAGAATAACAATAAAAACCCAAGTGATTCCAACTTGAAAGCTCCCTTTGCTTTGACCTGGAAAGAATTCTCCGGGTCAGTGAGAGTCCTTGACAAGGCCACACAGACACTCTATCTGGACTTCATCCCCCACCGGGAAGTTAGTGATGTGGGTGTCTGAGAGCCAGCTGCAAATCAGCTGTCTCCCAGCCACGGACCAGACTCTGGTTCCTCGCCTCACCCTTTTCCGGAAGAGAGAGAAGCAGCAGGAAGAGCATGTGCCTCCGGCTGGTGGACCTTCGCGTCCCTCCCGTGGGACGGGAGCGAGGCTTTCTGAAAATGCGCCGCGTGGAATGCTCCCTTGCAGCCTGTGGAGGGGGCGTTAGACCACACACGAAGGATGTAAGCCGCGATGCAGTGACTGTCTTCTGCCGTGTCACATTTCCTGCATGTGCAGGCGTTAAGTGACCTGCCCGAGGTCACACAGCTGGTAACATGCAAAGGTGGGATTAGGGCCCAAGACAGTCTGGCTCCAGAGCCCATGTATGGAGTCTTTCCAGATGTTTGCCCCATCTCCAGAAGTAGGAGAAAACTCCCGGAGTGACAGGGCGCTCAGATGTGATAGCCCATCTTTTCTTTGACATCCTTTAGGCCAAGTTGCACATGTGGCCACGTTCCAGATGTGACCCAAGTTGCACATTCCTCCACCTGAACGGCAGTCAGAGCCCTGAGTCAGGGGCGGCCCCCGGCACCTGTAATGCGGTCGGTGACTTGGGATCTCACTGCAGCTGTTAAGACCAAGCAGGTCCCTCAGAAGCCAAGGGTGAACCAGCAACACTGAGTCCCTCTCCCTCACGTGGCACCCATTAGTCGGGTGTTTAGCAAGTGCCTCCTAAGTGCCTGGGCACGCTGGGCGGGAAAGGAGAGCCCAGAAGGGACCTGGGAGGAGGCTGGGGCTGGGGGCAGTTAGAAATACTGTCTGGGTTTAGAGACACGTGGGTTTAGAGACGTGGCGAGACAGTATTCCCCTTGCCAGGAAGAGGTGGCACCTCCAACACGGCTGAAATGGCCAGGAGAAGTCTGCGGGCACCTTGGCCACCCCGTGGCCGGCCAGCCACAAGCAGAGGTGTAAACCCCTGGGAGTGTGGGAGCCGGATGAGTTTAGAGCTGACGACCTGTCATTCCAGCCCAGCATTGCCCATGACAGCTGCAGGAGTCTGCATCTTTATGTCACATCTGCCTAATGGTTCAAGTTGACTCTGGTATCTATTAAGAGAAAGGCCTCCAGGTAAGATTCAGCCAGTGGGCCAGCAGCTGTGACTTCTCTTCTGGAGGGGTCAAGGGTCCCATCTGGAAGAGCCACATATTAGGGATGGGAGGGAAAGAGAAGACCAAGAGGTGTACACAGAGGCAGAGAACCAGGAGGCTGTAGCGTCCACCTGGGATGTCCTGACCTTAGGTGTCCGCGTGGCTCCCTCCCTCACCTCCTTCCAGCCTCAGCTCAGATGTCCCCTCGGGGAGGCCACCTTTCCTGACCACCCTGTTTAAAACTGCAAACCTCCAGCCCCGCCCACACCCTGACCCTGTGGTCCTGCATCCCTTCGAGGCACTCATCAGCTGCTGATGCACTGAGGTATTTGTTTCTTATCTGCTCCACACAGCAGAACCTGTGCCTCCTTCCTTGCCGAGTCCCGCCCCCGGGTCTGAGGCCCCGGGTCTGAGGCCCCGCCCCCGGGTCTGGAACCCCGCCCCAGGATCTGGAGCCCCGCCCTGCAGGCAGATGCCTTTGGGACCACTGGATGCGGCATGCTGCCTTCCAAGGTGCGGCTGTGGCACAGGAGACCAGGAGCAGAGCTGCAGGCTTGGAAGCTGCTGTTGGAAGGGTGGTTCCCATGGCTGCCAGGGGCTGAGGCAGATGGCAGGGGACGGAGTGCAGAGGACAGCTGGGGACCCTGAGTGCCCGAAGGTTGGGGGGACATCAGCCCAGGTCCCCCAGACAGCCAAGGTGCCCCCAGGGTTGGCATCCCGAGACCTTTCCTGGCCGTGGGGGAAAGGGTTGTAGAGAGGGACAGAGGATAACAGGAGTAAAAGTTAAATGAGAAAGAGACTCAGGCGGTGCCTGCAGCCAGGCAGCCAGGCAGTAAATTACTTGGCAGACGGAGAAGAGCAGGGAAATGAGGTGGAGAGAGGCCAGGCGGCTCCGGCCACCCTGGGATCCGCGCCTCTGAATCACGGCCCCACACACCCCCCACACACCCACGAGAGCGCGAGCCAGGAAAGCACTGATTG